AGCAGTAGCCCCGAAACATCAGCAGCTTAAGTTATATTTCGCGCAAAACCACCGTCCTAAAGAACGCAATTGCCCGAATATATATATTCATTCTACGTTGTGTTGAGGTGTATACATCATTCCATAGAAGCGGCTTGAGCCGAAATTGGAGAACGGAAACTGATCTTCTTCGTTTAAGAATTGTCTAAGAAAAGGCCTATCTGCTGCTTTCCTCGCGACGCTGACGGCGTTTGTCACAAGTGTGGTGTTAAATAAAGAACTGTCTCCTATACGTGAAAAGTCCGCGTTCAAAGTGAACGCATAACCTTCATTCGTTGAAGAACAAACGACCTGCTCAACATTTCTATTATCAATATAAAACGAAAAATTATTTCGGGAAAGCCAACGACCAATGTATCTAATCATATTTCGAGAGCCGGAAGATCAACCACTGCGCAGGACGCGAAGAACAGTTTACATGACGGACGTTTATTTATCTGCAAAACTAAAGAGAGATTTAAATCAACAGGTCCGTTGAATCTTCACTTTTTTTGTCATTGTTAGTACAGAAAATAGTCCGTATAGTATACTTTTTCAAAAGTATAAGACCGGCTTAAATTGCGGAGTTATGATAAAACCGCCGGAATCGTGTCATTCAACTACCGTCATAACTTAAGTTGGCAGTGAGCGCTAACACCTGTTGTACTCTCTTTCCGCGCCTATAGCTTGAATAGCGAGGCGTTGACTTCACGCATCCAGAAAGCGTGCGCCTAATGCTGTAGCTAAGGAATTTCAAGGAAAGAAAAATACCGTGAATCACCGCGTTGGGATCGAAACGACACATAGAGCTGGGCAGACATATCGCCACACGCTCGGCGGTGTGTAACCCTATATACAAATCGTGCTCAAGGCGGACGCATCACGATTGCAATGCGAGACGACTGCGGTTCGGCGGCACGATTCGGGGCTTTCTCGGCACGGCGCCTATCGCGTCTGCCACAGAACACCTACATACACGTTTACCTCGGTGCGAAGTCTCTTGTACTTTCGAATGCCAGCTGATTTTGGCTGCGCGCATGGTCGTGGGCTCGAAATCCGCTGCAGCCGCCAACCGATGTTCTAATTCATACACAAACAGCCCGCATTTGTTCGGTTTTTTTGCAAAACCTATACACAGAAAGGCTTCTTCAAATGACAAGAACAACGCAATGGGGACTTGAATTGGAAATCATACAAAACTGCCGGTGTGGGCATTTACAGCAGAAGGAGCTGCTCTAGAAATACTTATCTAAATCACGTGTAACTTGAGATTACATTAAGACGTTTCGGTTTTGTCTTTGAAAATATCTTTATACGTGTGATTTATTTAGCTCTGAACGACAGCAAGTAAAAACATGCCCAACTTTCAATTGTCATTGAAACTAACATTGCAAACTCTAGTGCATAAAGTAGATACGATAGAGCTAAAGCTGACCTTTTGAACAAAAGCTTTCAAGTCCGAGGGTCGCTATGGCGCTTTTCAGCTGTCTGTTAGTTCAGCCTTGCACGTCACTGGTTATATTTCTGATTATTTCTATCGATAAGAACAAGTTTTCGTTAACGCCGTGGTGAAGATTCGATACCGGAATAATCTTGAAGTTCGAAGCTATCTTTCCAAGTGGTTCAGTGTATCTTCTCCACAGCTACGCGTTTGGAAACCCGCTGTTTCACAAACAACCCCACGAAAAGATTATTTGCCTCTTTGCTTGAGGTTGCTTTGGCTGTTACGTTCGTTAAAGCTCGTAGTGCTTCGACAGGAATCTAATATAGCGCGATAACACTTCTCTTTCATTCAAGTTCAACCATCTTAATAAATCAGATAGCTTGGTCAGAGGACACAGGTGTATTGATACAGCAGCGGGCAGCCGATTGCAGCGGATTTGTAGCGCACCTTGACTTCAATCGTCCTATCTTCTACAGAGAGCCTTTACATTTTACGGTCACGTTAAAGTTCGTACAGTGGCATGCAAGTTCTTTTTATGCAAATAACGGCGCGGAGGAGATCCAAGGGTCCGGCTTGGCGGAGCAGTGGTTTTGGTGCTAAGCCGCTGACCTCGAGGGTCGAGGGTTTGATTCCAGCTGTCGCAATTCGATGGAGGCGAAGTACGATACAGGCCCCTGCACAGTGCGGTGGCAAGTGCGCATTAAAGAACACCGGCTGGATCGAAATTTCCGGAGCCCCCAATTACGGCGTCTCTCGTAATCATGTCGTGGTTTTCCCATGCGAAACCCCGCGGGTATTAATACGAAAGGACCTAAAGGAAATTGCACTGTGCCCGGACAACAGAGTCGAGTTCGACGGCTAACGGGAGAAGGCAGATGCACTATACCGATAACAATCACCGGATTGACGTCACGATTTCACAGAATCAATTAAAAAAGATTAAATAAAGGCCGAGGGGCGGTACGTAAGAGATAACGAAACGGCGAGCTGTCGATGCCATTTTCTAATTACTTCGCTAGCCGTACACACTCACGCAAGCACTGTGCTTACGCCTCAATAATGTCGCTTGCATTTTGTCTGACGCCTGACAGAAATCGGACATCGCGCAGCGCGATAACTGGTGCAAGATAATTACAATGAATTAGACAGGGATCTTCATTGTTACGCCACCAGCCTCATTCCCACCTATATACCTTCCGTTCACCAGTAGCCGTACACGGCAGATATCGCGTAAATCAGTACAGTTTACCTTGATATACGTCGCGAAACTTATTTCCACCGCAATCTTCGCGCGCAATCGCGTATCAGCCCTTCAAATGTAGAGAGCAGGCGGGCCTATACGACTAATAAGACTCGTATGAAGCTCGTACCACGGCAGTGACGTGATTCTATGCTATACATAAGATTCGAAATTAAAAAAAAAAAGATTAAAAATAATCCTCGTGTGGTGAGAAAGGCAGGGTAGAAAGAACCGGAATAACGTTTCTGTCGTAAACGTCATTTTGATGCACAGACGCAGTGCCGCGCACAGCAGTGAACAAACGGGTGAGTCAACTAAGAGTGGAATTTGTCTAATGAACGCAGAATAATCTAATGTGAGAGACAAAAGTACCCTTGAAATTACCGCCCACGCTAGAAAAAAATGCGATCAGCGCGTATAGCTGCATCATAGCTGTTGCAATAGCAGTCAATCAGCTATCCAGGATACACAGAGGGAAACGAACCGCATTATTTAATCTTCGTGGTACTTTGCGGGCATCTCACTTACACGTCGTGTTAACTAGTCTCTAGTTTGGCTCTAAAAAGTCTACGGAGAGGCGATAATCAGCATTAGCAGAATCCACGAGAGAGGTCAGGCGTATCGACTATTCTCTCCCGTAGCCTAACGACATCCTCGTGGTGTGTTTCGACCAATGACAAAAGGCTGTAGATGCTGACGTACATCACATAGCACGTCAGCAAAGAAAAGAATGCCCTCGCTATTCGTTCTCCTATATATGCTTGTATAGCGCTGTTTTCAGCCAATTATTTGCATATGTGAAAAAACGAGGCCAGATTTTTTTTTTTTAATATCCAAGCTTTCCTGCGGAGCTTTAGTCTTTCCTCCAACAGTGGCGTAGCCTCCAATTTTCACTGAGGGTGAACAATAGTCGGGTAGAAAAGGGGTTGTTGTCCTACATCGTCTTGTTTTTTTTTTTTTTCAGGATGTCCTGGTTCACAAAATAATCCCTCTTCCCCGATGCCACGGCGCATATGCGCCCTTCCCCTAGCGGAAAAGTCGCAAAACGCCTCTTGATCTTGGAGGCAATCGTGTAGGCGATACAGGACTCTCGGCTCCTGACAAAGCTCTACCAAAACTGTAGAAGGCAGTGCAGAAAAATTAAAAAAAAGTAGATCATGAAGGGCTTCGAGACGTCACGCACCCCGTGTATCACCTTTCGGCTACGCCCTTTATAAGTTTCCCAATAAAGGTAAATGTAGGACGAAACATTTTGCACCTCATACAACAATGCATGTGGCTTTGTCACTTGGACCGGACGTAGTTACTGAGTTGCACGACGGAGACCGTATGATGAGCGTAACCGAACAGTATTGAGCATAGTTTTAAACATTTGTTTGCTGGCAGAAAATCGCCTTTCGGCTTGGTGTAGTACACTATATGCGCGTTCAAAACCTCTAGACTAATAAATAAATTGTGCGGTATAAATTTCCAGTAGAGTTTAATCTCAGTGCGATTAATCTCAGTGCCGCAGCATTGAACCACGCAAAACTGGAAAATGCAAGCGAGCATGAACGGCAGCTTACATGGAGTTTCAGCATCGCACATCACACCCACACTCAGGCAAAAGCCAGTACAAGACAACACACTATTCGGTGGCAGTGCGACAGCGGCAGGCAACATCTTCTCTACTCGCGCACACTCTATATACACATCGTATTGTGCAGCGATGATCGGCGCTACTTAGCATCCGAGATCCTCAACCGGAATAACCTAAGAGAGCATCAGTCCTCCATTTTACGAGTAATTAGATCTTCTGAAGCCTCCTTCACTACACTAAGCCTTCATTTCCAACGGCGTTGATTGAAAAAAAAAACTACATTGGCACATTGTTTTTTTTTCTTGTGCTGTCACTCCTTTGCTTCGTATAATGCCACATGCAAAAGTAAAAATAACAGGCTGACAAAGATAAAGGCACATTGAAAAGAAATCGCAATGTTTATGAGAAACGGAGAAAAAGTTCAGCAAGTATGTTCTTCAAGAAAGTCTGAGTATTAATAACTGATAGCACACTGAATTCGTTGCAGCATATTTGGAGACCCTGATAAAATATTTTTGGTAAACTTTGCCATGATGATGGCCGATGGTGCGTAAAACCATATGTCCTTTACAGTTAATCTTCAGAAAGCTAGCGTAAAGGAAAAAAACCTTCCACGTCTCCACAGAAGAATTATAGGCATACACTCCTAACAAAAATGCAGCTGCATGTTTCACTAGACTTGTTACATTCGTCTTGGCAAAAGAGGGCAAACAAAAATGTTTTTGCGCACATACTTTATCTTCTTTTACCGGCACACATTTACTGTTGTGTAATCAGATTAAAAATTAATGGGCTGTTTAGCAAGAGGAATCAACAGGACATTTTTTAAACAGTGTTCTCAACCTGAACAGGCCTCACATTTGGAGTTGGACAGATGGCTCAAATTCTATTAGATTTGAAAAAAATGTCATAGTATGATACATCCAGTGCAGATCCAAATAAATAACCCTGTTCTTAAATCTCCAAATGATAAAGAAACTTTCAATGAAGAGTAACAGAGATTTAAGATGACTGCATCTTTCTTTCTCGCACAATTTCAGATGGACACTCATAACAGACAATAAGATCCTCGAAGACGTACTGTATATTGCTGGCTCCAACTAAGAATTTAGTTGTCTCGCAGGTCACTGTGTTGTCCAAAAAGGAGGAGTCATACAAAATGCACAATAACATAATACAAGCAAAATAGAAATATAAAAAATTATAAAAACCTTTTAGAAATAAACATTTCCTGAATTTAAATATGTGAGAATTTTTGTATATCATGGTCCAATGCACTCATCAGTGTGACATAATAAAAAATACCATTTCTTTTTTTTTGGACAGCAAAAGCTGAGACAAGTGTCAACCTTGCCATTTCACATAAATACACTTGGACTTTTGCTTCGATTCTACGAGAAAAAGCCGAATAAAGTACAAGCATGCACACCAAAAAAGGAGCCCGTGTCAATAGCAACGGCACGGTAACCCGCGAGGGCATATCTGAGGGATTGGTTCTGAAAAAAGAATTTTTTTTTTCACACTTTAAAGCATACACTGATACACCCACGCCAAGAGCCTTGGAGACTACAGTTGAATGGACAATTCAGTGAGTCATCAACGACAGATCTGACACATGCAGAGAAGAGTGCCAGTTCTGCGGCAAACTGAAAACGGGGACCAGTGTAATGCCAATTCATTGAGTAGGAACAAGGTATTGTACTTCAAGGGCAATTCGAAATTGCAGGCTAAACACAATACAACCTCTTTCCCTTTCAAAGAAGGCTCCTTTGAGTTCGTTGTACCTATAGTTCTATATTGCACATCATGTGAAAGCTTCTCACGACAAATGCCACACCTTCACGATGTCGACGACTCGGCTGTTGAGATTCGACACATCATCATCATAGGGTTGATTATAACACCACAACAATAGAAACAAGCGAGAAAAAATGTTCGTCGAAACAAGAACTGAGATCAATATTTCCAGAATGACAATTTGTTTTTCGTTTTGGGATAACATAATGAGTGGAGTTTAGCTTGGACATTTGTATGAATGAGGTCGTTGCAATCATTTAATGTATTAGCAGGAGTTCATATCAGCATGCAAAATCGAATGAAACGGTCCAGCTTCAGAAAGGTGACGAATATAGTATTGAAGACAAGATAGTGTTTCACAGCATGCATCTCATGGTGATTGCCATAGTAAAGCAAAAAAATTTGGCTATCAATTCATTGTTAAGCCATTTATCTGGATAGCTTTTTTTTTGAAGGTTGCTACACTGTGACTAAGGAAGGGTACAGCCATGAGGCATTCTTATAAAAAAGTGAAGCCTACAACATGACAACAACTGAGAAAAGCTTCTAACAAAACAGTACCTGTGATCTCAGAAATGGCACAGAAACTCAGTCATGTAGATTGTGCATTCAGAAAAAGGTGCAATTTCACGGTTTCGAAGTGCAGAGGCAAAACAAATAATGAGGAGAGACAATAGGATGAGAGACTTGGAAGACAAAGTCGCCCAACTACATCACACCTTCTGTGAGCTCATCACATTAAACAGACGTCGCATGCAGCAAGAAATATTATTTTTGCATAATTATATTTAAAGTGACGGAGCATCAGCAATTGGTGAAAACGGGCAGAGTCAGTGAATAGCTTAATGATGAAGCAGAGCATGCAAGTGAAATTACTGCCACGTGTCTAAGACATTTAAATAGTTTAGCACACTTTCCTAGTGCCTAGTCTACACGCCCTCAATGTCTGGTGAAATCAAATTTTTCTAAGCTACATACTTCACCAAAACATCCAATAGAGCAAATCGTTTCATGTACTAGAAAGACTAAAAATTTCGGCTTTCTCTTTTTTGCGAGTAAATTTGAAAACAGTCAATTTTTCAGCTCTGATACATTATATGCTTAACAATAATCAAAAAAAAAAAAAGAAGAGCGGGAAATAGAGTAGCTGCCATTCCCCTATTTGTGCAACATTGAATGGTCCGACGCAAGCTTGACCAGTAGTCCTACTCAAGCTTGACGAGTTACCTGACATTTTGCACAGAAATTTATGCCGCTTCTCCTAAAATGAGCGATACAATGAAAAGAGCAACATAAAGTTGCATAGGCTTATTCGTGACCTCACCAAATAAATAAAAACGCACAACTGGGACACTGAATCGACGCCAGAGCTCTGTACCGATAATGCTCTTCTAAGATCTGGACGTGCTGTGCTTGCTACCGGCATTACACCAGTAGAATAGAAATGCACTGTAAAGACAAGACCCCGAGGTCAACCGCAGACCCACACGTTTACGTCATCCATGGATTGAAATGCAAAAATTCAGGGCAATGTAATGCACGTGCTTTCTTTTACAATGTCTCGGTGTAACAATCGGCATAATTTTGACTCGAAATCTACGTCAGAGCCAGCATTGGCTTTTAGCAACCAGATCTACAGCGACATGACCTGCTCATCATGAGTAACTGCTCATAGAAGTCGTAAAAAAAAGTCACGTTTCAGTCTGTGAATGCAGCACATTCAAGAAAGGGTGCCGACAGCAAAACACCCACCAATAGACTGCAACATAACATTAGCGCAGAATTCACCGATTTCCCACGTCATCGCGGCCATTCTTCATTGCCTGCACTGCGACAGTAATCAAAGAGCGTAGCTCTTTTCACGGTTTCGTTTTTATAGTCGGCAAGGCAATGTCCACTGCAGAAGGCTGGGTCCCTTTATTGCGGGCAGAAGGGGGCCCGCAGCTGCTTCTTGCTTCTCAGTGGTCGACGGACGTTGCGAGGCGTATGGGACAAGAAGTGCAGCACTGCGTTTAGGGCTAATGCGGCTTCTTCAGACGTAGAGCTTCCAGATGGAGATGGGTTGTCGATAGAGCCCCGGTGCGCCCTGCTCTCGGCCTCCAAACACGTAAAAGCAGAGGCGCCACTGGTGCAGCTCGGTGCGTCCCCCGGGCGGGCTGCCGTGTCCAGATCGGCCGGTGGCACTGCGAAGGCGCACAGGCGTGCTCTGGCAGCTCTCCTCCTTGATGGCCTGGATGGGCGCCCGCTTGGACACCACCACGGCCGTCTGGCTGCACACGGTGGGAGTTCGCTGGGATACGCGGTCCCAGGAGCGCGCACGCTCCTTCACCACCTGGCAAAGGTGTCGAGAAAAATGTCGTGAATTCAGTACTAAGGCCGGTGCTGGCCTTCTAGCACTGGCATATTTAGGGGTGTGTGTGTATGGTGGTGGTGGGGGGGGGGGGGGATCAACTTTTATCCCCAAAAAAACTTTCTGCTACGTCCCTGCCTTGTAGTATTCATAAAAAAAACCTTATTCAGCTATGTAACCGGTAACAGACTCAGACTAGCTCTTGGCGCTGGTAAACAAATCATTTAGTAGTAGTAGTAGAAGGAAGAGATGAGCTAATTCGATACTTGGTAAAGAAAAACTGTGATCATAGAATCGTGGATAAAGAACGAAAACACACTCGCGTACACACACACACACACACACACACACACAAGCACGCGCGTGTGTGTGTGTGTGTGTGTGTGTGTGTGTGTGTGTGTGTGTGTGTGTGCATGCGTGTGCATGCGTGTGTGTTTGCATGCACGTGCGCATAGGCACGTGTGCATGCGCACATGCATATGCGGGCATGACATCTGTAAGTACTCATAAAAGTAAATGCTAACAACAAAATGCGGAGAAAGTAAAGCGGGCTTCTCCATTAATACTCTGTTATTGTGGAGAAGCCAGCTTTTAAAGCATCTGCTTTAATGAGGCATATTAATAGAATGCAGACTTAAAATTTTGTGGAGGCTCCGGAGGAGAAGGAGGAGGAGGAGGAGGAGGAGGAGGAGGGGGGAGGAGGAAATAACTTTATTCAAAGTTCTGGTTAAAAATATTTGCCGCCAGTAGCACGAATGCACATGGACTGTCATTTCTGCTTCTAGATAACCCTGAACAACGGTTGCACACTCTCAACACTGTACCAATAGAGCCCCTTCAGAGTATACCTCGAATGCAGTCGTTGGGCCTATAATCAAACTGCGACTTTCGCGAGTTGGCAATAATTTACTTGCACTAACACAGCGCGCTGATCACTAGGCCTAAACAAAGCGTGAAACGCATAGTCAGCGCTTCTGTCACTCTGTGTTCAGTCAAGGGGGTACTGAGTTCGTTGGGCCTGCACCTCTGCAAACGTACGCCACCGTCACCGACCTGTATTCCCGGCTGGGCTGCTGCGCTGAACGTGCTCAGCTCGATGGCGGCGGCCGTGGCGGAGTTGAGCGACGAGGGCCGCGACCGGGGTCCGTGTCCCGTGAGAAAGTGCATGATGTCTCGCTGCAGCTCCGGGTCGTCCTCGGCGAACGAGTAGTAGCCCGAGCAGTGGGACGCGCTGTGCGACAGCTGCAGAGGCGAGCTGGCCGGAGCACCGGAGCTGCTCGCGTCCGAGAACCACGTGTAGCTGCTCGTGGAGCGTCGAGGTCCGCCCACGCGGTACCTGTCGGGCATAGCGGATACGTTGAGACGAGTGGCGGTGAGTGAGCACCCGTATTCCGTTGACCATTAGTATATATCCCAATAAATGTGCATTCATTTTTAGAAATTCCGAGAAAATTCCAAGCCTCCCCCGTTTACCCCCCCCCCCCTTTTTTTTAACCAACAGCTCAGAGGAACACAGCACTGCCAATTGACGAAAGAGGGCATCGCACTTTAATATATTTGTTGGGCATTGCTAGATCAAGGATTAAAAAAACCAACGCGAGTAGTTACGGCGTTCTGACACAGACACCGGCAAAAAAACGTTAATTCTGAAAAGTGACCACATAGGCCGAGCGGAACGCTTCTTTCTTACAGCTGTAGCCAAAGTTGAGCGTTCACTTAGTTTTATAAAATACGGGGCTTGGAACGACGCGTCTCTGTTAGAAAATGACACTGAGGGCCAGGACAGGCAGAAGATAGAAAGCAGAACACATCGGCTGCAGAGGAAAGGGTAACGCTACGAAACATGGGCTTTCACGGGGTAATTAAGGAAGCCCAAGGCCCACTCGAGATGTTGCCGCACACCTCGTGTCTCGCATAATGCGCCCACCTGACGTTGCTGTGGTCGAGGTCGATGAGCAGGTCCGCGCGCGGGTCGGTGGCGTTCTCGCACGGCGTGTGCTGCTGGTCACTGGCACCTCCGGTGGTGGCGGTGGGCGTGCAGCAGCAGCTGGCGCCGGAACGGGCAGGCACCGCCGCCGCCGAGGAAGACACGTTGAAGGTGTTCAAGCTCTGCGAACTGTGAAGCACGCCACGCCACCATATAGGTGCATCGCTTCGCGCTTTGACAACGGAAGAACGGTCAGCGCAGATTAGCAGTGAGGAAAATAGTGAGTCTACGCACGGGCTCCGGTAGGAGGTTGCAAGAGAGGAACTTCATTACCAAGTCGCATGCAACCCCGTCAGCATTACGATGCAACACGACTTTGCACCCTACAATTAGAACGAAATCTTTTCTACGTCCATAAGTCTACAGACAGGGAAGCATGGAATTCACCCAGAAAGCGTAGGGAGGTTTAAGCGTAGCGGCACACAAGTAAGCAGGTTGCAGAAGTTTGCTTTGTGAAAAAAGATTGCTCTGTGCTTCGCGTTGTGCACTGCCTTGAGTTATGACAAGCATGCCGAAACCTACCACCCTCATGATCGACTATATACAAGAGATAGACATAATAGAAGTTCCGGAGTATTTGCCATTAGCTAATCTATGTTTTCTCGCGGTCACTAAATGTGGTTCGGATGCTGTTTCAGCAACATTTGCCACCTAGAAGCTGCAATTGATGGCGATAAGCACTTGGTGTCGTACGGTCACCGCTAGACAGATGAAAGAGGTAGGGGTGGGGTGATGGTCCATCTGCTGGGGGCGAGCGCACCTGGTGATGCGTCGGGACCTGCCGCCCTGCGGCGGTGGACTCAGCATTCCGGGCGGCACGGGCACCGAGCAGTCCCTGTTGCGCGGCAGAATCTCGGACAGGGGCCGAACTCGCACGCTCAGCGGTCGCTTGCGCTGCTGGGGCGTCGACTCGCCGCTGCTGTCGGAGGCCTCGAGGACGGCGTCGGTGCTCGCCGACTTCTGAATGGCCTGCGGCGTGGGCACGCCGGACGCCGGGTCCGCCCCTTCGAGCAGTTTCTCGGTCTCGTCTCGCCGTGCGGCGCCGCTCACGGAGTAGTTGCCGCTGGAGATGCTGCGCACCAGCCGGCTGCTGGACAGCTTCTCCTTCAGGGACCTGCGCCCCACGCGCGCGTTTGTTTCACTGTAGTGCGCGCGACACGGCGACGGTGGAATAATACCGGACAGGACGGGATCCAAGGGCAGCTGAGGATACCGCGCCAGCAACGGACAACGTATACAATGCTGGGATGGTCGGTTTAAGAACTTTACAACGCGGAAAGATAACAATCCGGTTGTGCGCAATCACTGCGTTCGCAGATTTCTTCGCAAACTAAACAAAATCGCTGTTCGAAGAAGAGTGCGAAAAATGAATGAGCTTAACAAATACAGCAACAAGGAAGAAAGAAAGCAACAACATAACAAACAAACCAATTTAGCAGCAAACAAACAAACTACAAGAAAAAGCAAGGTGTTAATTTAGTGAGCCACTTGATGTTTGATTAGGACGTGTTAGGATGAGTTGCGACAGCGCGCGCGTAGCGCTATTCCACCAGTCATCGTCTGCATTTTTTTTTATGGTGCACGGTGTTTATCATAGCACCAATATTCGTTTCCAATAGAAGGTGAACAAACAAATAGACAGATCATATTCGCGCAATCACGTACAAGTACATAGCCTAAGGATATGACATCTGCAAAGTCCTCAATGTAACCAACACCTCACCATTAAAGCGTCTTCCCTTGTACGTTATGGAAGCATTTTTGAATATCACAAATCTCGAGTGCACATGTTCACAAAGTCAATCGCAGCTATAGTATGCAGCGTATACACGCCGTGCGTGCGGGATGTGATGCGTGAAGTTGCATGCAGTGAATGGCGTGTTTGTGCGAAAGCCCCGCAAGTTTGAGAATGCCACTGACGAGCGTCTAGAGGATGCAACGAGTGCTTAGCTAGCTAACTAACAAACTAACTAACTAACTAACCAACTAACCGTTGCAATAAACTGTTCAGGTCACAGTGTTGATAAATGATAATGAATTGGTAAGCGCGCTAAGGCAGCATATTTGTGATAGCATGTATATAGTAAATATTCTGGCATGCAGACTTTCACTCTTGGTTCGAGTACTCTTTTTGTCTATACTGTTCGTGTGTTTTCTCTGTGTTTACTTGGTACCATTACGTTTGCACTATTCCACCATCCTGTTTTGTTTCAACTGTCTTGCTGCGGAAAGGTCGAGGTTTTTATTACCACGCTACTGCATTTCTGTAAGTTCTGCGCTATTGTGTTCACTATTGGCATTTTGACTGTTGACGTATTTACACTATAATCCCTCTCATACTTTCTTTTCTTAAATTCCATAAAATCTCCCCCCCCCCCCTCCCTCCCACCCCCAGCAATGCCTTCGATCGATCGTCGTGTGATAACAATCCTCAGTATTTCGTACACACGAGCGGACAGGAAGAGAAGCGGCAGAGCGTGGCGACGCACCTCAGATTGACCTGGGCGCCGCATCCACCGTACGCGCAGCCGACGTCGTCGTCCTCGTCGTCGTCCTGCGAGCCCGTGTTCTTGCTGCACAGCCTGGACACCGGGTGCACCTTGAAGCGCAACGAGGCGGCCCTGCCGTGCCAACGAGGCCGGTGCAGCGCCGTGCCGCCGACACATTCCTCGTCCTCCTTGGCAGCGCACACGCGGTCGGCCCACGTGGCCAGTCCCGGGTTGACCAGGGCCACGTGACGACACCGGGGTGTGGGCACGGTGCCTTCCACCGCGACCTTCTCCCACGTCTCGCTCGCTGCGCGAACGGCGATGCAAAGAACGCGTTGCAGAACAGCGGACTGATACGTTCGCTCAATGGATCTATAAAGCTGAAAACACGGGGATTGAGGACGCTTTGTCCTTGCGCTATAGTACTCTCCTCTACCTTGGTCTCTGTTTTATGTGCTATGGCTGAATGTACAAAAGCCACTCGTCCCAAAGTTGGTACTCTTATGATCAGTTAAGAAAACAAACGATACGTAATAGTCATAACTATATCTGTGGTTTTACGTGCCGAAATCACGACAAGATTATGAGGCACGACATAGTGAGCGGGGAAAAAGATGGGGGCACCTGATATTTCAACCATCTGGGGTTCTTTACCGTGCACTGGCCTCGCACAGCACACGGCCTTCTAGTAAATTTCGCTCCATCGAATTTTGATTATCGAAGCAGGAGGGCTCACACCGGCGACTATCGTGTTAGTTGCCTATCACCATAGCCGCTGTACCATTGTGACGAATAACAAGCAGAGCACGAGAACGCGATGAACTAGAAAAGGAAACAGCGACAAGACCGCTTACTTGTTCCTTGTATACGAGAGCGAAGTTTGTTGTTGACATGTAGATGTTTCAACTGCCCCGCCGTAACTTTCTTATAAGACGGAATTCTTATAAGATGTACACCGTTGGGAAAGAGAACCAATTTTCTATACTGCAATCAGGGAAATACCGTTTGCTAAGACATCGCAGTTAGCTTCTTCCGACGGTAAAAAGTGTGAACGTATATACACGTACGGGACTTGCCCGGGGCACTCACCGAAGTGGAACCTCCACAGATCGTTGTTGGCAGCGCCCGCCCGCTCTCCGCCGAAGAGGTACATGAAGCCGTGGGCTTGCACCGCAGCGTGACCATGTAGCTCGGCAGGAGCGCCTTTCGGTTGTCGTATCCGGCTCCAGCGACCCGTGTCTGCACGCAGAGGACTAGGCGTAAACCCGCGCCTAACACGTTCCCAAGACAAGTGTAGCTTATCATTCATGCAACCTTCGTGCATTTGTTACGAAGCACAAGAAAGCACACTCGCACCGGTTGTACTATATGGGTGACAAAAAGGAGTGACTGAGGACACCTTTCTGAGATATCCGAGAGAGACAATAAATAGTCGTAAGTAGACGATTACTTGTCATACTGCCCCGAGGAACCTGATATCTAATCCGAAACTATACGTATAGAGGTATACCTATACCCAATACAATATACTTGCCCCCTTAGAACAGTTGGTCGAGTGTCAAGGTGTTTATATATGTACCGAAGTGGTAAGACCAGAAGTCGGCCCGTTCGTGGAGATCCGTCAGTCCGCCGTAAATCCACATGGCGCCCTGGTGCACCACGCACGAGTGGTTGTGTCTCGCCGGGGGGTGGTCGCCAACGCCGCCTTCGCCGCAAGTCAACTCCCATTGCTCAGTGTCTGCATAGAAAAGGGATTCGAAACTGTCATTACGTGCCAGTTTTAACTGAGCGACACGTTAGCCGACCACAGTGTCGTCTTTAAAGATTTACCTATATAACATAACATAACTTTATTTCCCTTAAAGACCTTTCGAGGGGGTATACATAAAGGGTGTGTTAACATAATTTTTTTTTGTTGCCACAAGTTTTTATCACGAATAGTGGACGCATAACCGATCAAAAAATGATGATGAGCATTCAGTGGTGACGACGTCATGGGGAAGGTCATTCCCGTCTTTTGCTTTCCGAACAAAGAAGGACATAGAAAATGTGGTCGTCTTAATCCTCGGCCGGGCAACTTGAAGCGAATGACACGTGCGGTGAGATATGCGGGCAGGTGCGGCGATGTAGGGATGACGAAGGGTGCTGTGAAAAAACTTTAAGGCAGCCCTTATGGACATTCCGGAGATAACTCATTCACAAATTCTTGATATTGTTACTCATACAGAGGCAGAAGGAAACATGCAACTTTTCTCCGTTCTGGCGGATTTGTAGTCTTCTCTGCACTCACCGGCTAAGCGCGAAAACGGAAAACAGATTCCGACCTGTATCGTACGATGGTCCGTCACACGTAAACAACCTACGTGATGCTTTAAATTAATCTGATACGTTACTTCCGCAGTCTCGCAGACGCTGTTTACAGTCCACGTGCCGCAAGACCAAGCAGCGTATCTTGCTGAAAACAGCTCGCAATATAGCTTAACTTCCGCTTTTGATGTCACTGTTTCGATCTCCTCCCAATTCACCAACGAAGGGACACTGATCCAGGAAGCGTCGTCGTCACACGCACAGCTGGGCAAAAGAGAGTACAACCATATATTTAAATTTTCGAACCCTACAGCGAGGTAACCGTCTGCAAAGGGAGCTGCTGTATTAAATATTTACGAAAAGCGCGCAACAAGCACTACTATGCACGGATGTCTTTTACAAGGGAGAATATCGTTAATTAGCGTGCATTTTGGTTGTCACGCTCGGCCGCTTTACAGCCACAGCAGGCATCTCTCGGCCGGGGACCTAATACGCGGAGCCTCTTGGGAGCGTGAACTTGGATCGTAGCCGGGATGTGTTAACGTTACTTATTCATGCTGTAGCTGGAAAGCCGTGGGCGCGGGAAAAACTGAGGAGATCTCGTGTGGTTGTTGTAGCTCACTTCACCTGCTAACTATTGCGCTGAAACGTGTGACAAGTAACACCTTTTTTTGGAACGGTTCTCTGTAGTGCACGATGTATAACGGTGCAACCCGCCTTTACTTTCGCTAGCGAACTCACCCCGAGCAAGTGTTTCACTATACATGTGGAAATAAATGAAAGTTATTATTACGTTATGTCTAGATGACCTATGTATGCAGGAAAACTAACAACTTCCTCTATTTTCCATCTGAGAGTTGTACAAGGTGCTTGTGATTATTTTTTATCATATTCTTTGATTTTTTTCTTTGCCTGTTTCTTCAACACTATTATCATAATGATGGAATAGCCTGCTCGTACGTGACTCAACCACCCCATGTGTTGCATATATAAATTAAAACAAAAAAGCTACGTTGCCATTACATCAGTAGCTTGTTGACGATGATGATGATGATGATGATGGTGATGATGATGATGATGATGTCCTTACGACATGGCTCCTACCCACATTGAGGGATAGGCCAAAATTTTCTTCTTGTTCGCCTAGTCGCTTCTTTCCTAGCCATCACAATGGTGACTTTCTTCTTAAAATCAACTGACTTTTCTACAGAATCCTATAAGACAAGCTAATTGCATTCTGTGCCTGTTAATTTCATAATCTCAAAACAACATACTTTTCAGTCACAGAGGTTGGGTTTCGCTTTTATTGGCATCTATACTCGGCACACTTTTAATACGCTGCCCGTTACACAGCTTGCGAGGCTTGCTCCATTTCTTTGTTACAATCACAACTGAGAAAGCAGCCATATTTACTTTGTTTAGACCCCCAAGTGTTCACTGCTTGACTCTTAAATATAACTTTACGTTTCCAGCTAGTGTCTTTCAGCCAGAAATCATGCGATAGCTCGGACATGCGATTTATTTGCACATGTCACTTTTTCGCCATTTCAATCGTTGCGGTTTATCTCTGTGCTTGTTAGCCGAAGCACGCCGTACATACACGGTATCTTCGACGCGATGTCGCTCTCTCATTCCGTTCATACATTTCAGCTCGACTGTACGCATCGTGAAACATTTTGCTCCACTCGCAACGCATCGAAAGACAAAAAAAAAAACACTGTTGCGCGAAGCGCAAAAACACAACAACGATCGGGCAAACACAAACAATAAAAGAAAAAGGCGCAAACTATATGGAGGTAGTATACGAGCGACGTATATTTGACCTCCCCGAGCGAATCCTAGCGTTTTCCCTCCAATGCGGCGACGCGCGATCAAGCCATCGCTCAACGTCTTCCCTCCGATATCTTCTCGAGAGGGCGAAGCGCGGAGGCGAAGCCGTCGTAGAGTTTTGGTATACGCTATATCCGCGACGAGCGATGCGCTAGATGCCACGAGAGGCGTTCGAGCACACACGCACGCATGCCGCTCCACCGACAACGATGCGATGAAGGGCCCCGGGGCGAGCCAGGGAGAGAAGGAAAAAGAGAAAGGGCTGCATGACTCAGCCCGTTCGACGATCGAGGCGTAACGCCGCGCGCGGGAACAATAAAAGACGGGAAAGTGAAAAGAAAAGCGCGGGAAAAAGCGGCGGTGGATGCAGAGAAATGAGGGGGAGGGGCGGGGAGGTTGGAAGATAATGGCTCCTCCCGAAAAACAAAAGCCGAGCAAAGCGAGCAGGCCAGAACCAGAAACGCGAGGATTCGCTGTACATACATGTCTGTACGCAGATACGATCGCTCCGGTTTCCAAGCCCGGGAGCACGCGCGCACGTTAGCGTTAATTAAATTGCGGGCTAAAACAAACGGAGGTGAAGGAGGCGAACGAACGCGGTGGGTTCCGCTCGTGCACTATACTGTGCGTACGCAATCACGCGAGCCCACACAGGCGCGCTGAAGTGAGACGCTTTGCAGCGCGCCGCTTCGAAGCCCGCAGGCATGCGTGGCTTATAGTGCAGGCACCGCATATGCATATACCAGTCGACGAAAACTGCTCGGATTGTCTTCCAGAGTTTGCAACGCGGTTCGAGGAATAAAGGGGTATACACACGCGGGGAGCAGAGACCATCGACCTCTCCCTTCCCAGCTCATGTACTACACAGGCACGCATCAACCTTCTGAGTGCGCATATGAACTGCCAGTGCGTCACGCCGCAAGCCGAGCAGTATACCGTATTTAACAGGAACAGCCACCTGGTCACTAATGTGATTATCTACAACTTCAGCAGTTGCACCCGTCAGAGCTGGAAGGCATGCAGGCAGGCTCTGCCCGTGGGGTTCGTCTGCGAAGTCACATCGCCGCCCTCTCACACGTGTATGGAGCGTTCACGGTGTACTGCGGAGACGCGAGAGATTTAGCAGAACGTCCCGGGCTGCTTTTAATTGCGCAGTTGTTGCACGCCAGTCTTAGTGACAGCTTCGAAGTAGAGGATGACAGCCCTGGCGGAAGTTTTTGCCTGGTAGGAGCAGATTAGCAGTGTTTCTAAAAGTGTCAAGTCAAGGGAGAAAATTTAGATTTCAAACAGGGGTTATATACGAATAGCACGAAATAGTCTTTAAAGAGGTGCCTTTTTCGGCGATGGCACAGTCTCTATTTCGAGATCAAAGCAGCAAATGAACATTGCAAGCTTGCGCATCAGCTAAAACTAACTCAAACTTATACAAAAGTAATTCCACGTCTTCATTCGAAAACCATAATTTACAGCTGATATGTCATCTTGTCCATCAGAATGTTAACCAGTCCATGACTTCGAGTAAGAAACTTGAAGTGCTTACCCATTAGTCTTTGAAATGACTCACACTGTTGACTTTTAAAAGTGCAAAAACAAAAATGCCTCGCATCTTTTTTCTGTTATTCTCGCTTCATCCAGAAATCAACAGCGCTCTCAACACACTAGACCCACTTAGGCTATACAGTCCCCAAAAGCGAAATAAAAGCGACTACTAACAGAAAGCAAAATTAGTGTAAACGGGTCTACACGGACAACAACCTAGCGGCTACAAACACACTATTGCGTTTACAAAATGCTGCATGACTGGGCGACCAAAAAAAAAAAAAAACGTGGCTGATCCCCCTACATAGGAATCGGTATAACACGAAAGTGAAACGTGTTTTTACAGAAGTAGTTGAGCGTTTATTGTGCATTGTTTCAGGAGCATCAACAGTTTGCATCACTCTAAGGATGTCAACCAGCTCGAAACTTGCAGCGCACAGCTCAAGCAGAAAGCAAGCCCGAAATTAGCACACACAATGCGAGCGCGGACTAACAACTGTCACAGAGCGACACTTAAAGCGCGCTGTTCAAACAGAAAGAAAGACGCACGCAACGAGCGCACGAGTATGCACAGGACACGCGCGAACAACTGTCACAATTCTTCCTGCGTTGTGTGTCAGCATTGCGGTTCTTTCGTAAACGCTGCCGCGGCAGCGTGCGAAGTGACCTACGTCCTTTCCCGAATCACTATAGTCTGATAAGCGCACGGGCGCAGGAGAGACCACACTCCGAGGAGGCGGCGCTTCGTGGAGGCGACATTTTAGAGCGCGCCCAACGCGAGCCCGTCGCGCAATTTCGCCATGCACTGGTAATGAAAACGCGCTCAGGTTTCGGAGCTCTGAGGACTGCCAAACGTTGTATGGAGTGTGTATAAATTGCTTGCATTTTGCATCCCAGACAACGTGCGCTCCGTGGCGTAGTCGGTCTATCTGTTCATTCGTGGAATCACAAAAGGTTTAACAAGATGTGCCCGAATGGCTTCATCAAGTAGAAATCCTTCTACAGATGAAAGAATTTTAAAAAGCCTGTGAACTTTGACGCGTTTTACCTCTTCTCTTTTGT